GAGAGCCTGTATGTGATATTATATGCCTCCCAACTGAAACACATCAAAAGTATCTTTTCCCTAACTGTTGCAAGGGTATAGTTTCATGTGTGGTTTCTTATATGGGATACAATTGATAATTACGTCCAAAACTTTTTCCACAGATTTTTGCGAAAATATGGCTTCTCATCTGTGTGGATTCGCAAATGACCACTCAAATTTGACTTATGACCAAATTCTTCCCACAGGTCTTGCAAAGGTACAGCTTTTGACCTGTGTGGGTTCTCAAGTGGATCAACAAACCTAAATTAGATGTGAGTAGTTTCCCACATGTTTCACAAGAATAAGGTTTCTCACCTGTGTGAGTTGTATGTGCTTATGCAAATTTGCTTTCTGGGAGAATCTTTTCCACAGGTGCTGCAGGTGTATGGCTTCTCATCAGTGTGGGTCTTAGATGTACATTCAGTTATGATATCTGCCTGCAAATATTTCCCACAGGTGTTGCAGTGGTACGGCTTCTCCCTGTGTGGATTCTCAGATGTACATTCAATTTGGACTTGAAGTTAAAAGTTTTTCCACAGTGTCACATTTGAAAGAACTTTTCCCTGTCTGAGTGTTACAATGACTTTGATTCTGGGTCTACATCTTTGCTTCTTCCTGATCTTGGGCTCAGCTACAAGAAAGTTGTGAGAGGGGAGCATGTGGTCCACGTTCCTCATTAGTAGGAGTCAACATAAAGGTATCAGTCTCCTGCTTCAGTACAAGCTGCTCTCCCTCCTGACTGGTGCAGAGTTCTCCTCTTTCCTCTTTAATCTGTGGAGGCTCTGGGTCCTCCTGGTCCAGACTTGCGTTCCTCTCCTGGTTACAGAGCTGCTGTCGTTGAGAACCTCCTCCTCCTGACAGACATGTTGCTGTGGGACTTCGGAGGACAAAGGGACATTAGAAATAGGTTACTAATATGATAGATAAAATCAGATCTTGCTTCGTTTATTTTGTCCTCAGACAACCACAAGTTATTGTCTAAATTTCTAGGAAATAAGTTTGGTTTGGAGAATAAGTATATGCAGAGCACTTGTGAAAAGTACAATGTTTATTTTAAAGATATAGTCGTGCAAAAAGTAACTGAGTTCCCTACGTCTTATTTTTTGTTAATCGCATGTCACATCTTAACAGTATCAGCATTTTTATAATATAAATGTCTAAACACATCTTAACAACTGAACACTTTAACACACCCTTTTTCTTTCTTTCCCTTTATATCACTTTCCCACTTCCCACTTATTTCCAACTGTCTGATGTCCACCATGTGTGTTTATCTCAGTCGCTAACTGAAGTTGCAGTGATTGGCTAAGTAGCATTATTTGAACAGTGCCATAAAGCAGGTGGGCCACTATTTCATTGATATCAACAGAGGTGGAAGTAACGAAATACTTTACTCACGTTACTGTATTTTTTGTGTATTTTGTATTTTTTTAATTTTTATTTACTTCCGCTGTGTGTCACACTGTGAATTTCCGGCAGTGAAATGGGCTTTTTTTTCTCGCTTTAAATTATGATTGTACTTCTGTGTCGATTAATTTCATAGGTAAATTAGATTATTTACTCTACTACCACATTCAACTTATGTCTTTTTGAGTTATTTGGTTAACACTAGTTTTATATTTAACGCATCAGTTAGGAAATTACTTTCTGTACAATGTAATTCAAGGTATGAAAGGTGCTCATGTACAATAGCCCCTTTCTGTGTTGCTGGGGCCATGCTGATCAAGTTCTATAAGTTCATTCTAAGTTTTTATGTGTAAAATATTATTCAGCAAACTAACTATAGCTGTCAAGTACAGTAAATGTAGTGGACTAATTGTTTAATATTTGGCTGGTAATGTAGGGAAGTAGAAGTATATAGCACAAAATAAAGGGACTCAAAGTACAAAAACCTTCCAAACTGTATCATAGTATACTTTTTCACCCCCAGCTTGTGAGCTTACATCATCACCTTACAAAGCTTTATTGTCTGTATTGACAGATCATTGTATGTATTACTACCACTTAAATAGATGTCGCTTAGATGTTGCAATCATTCAGTCATCAATGTGGCAACATCAGTGTGAATAACCAGCGCTGATAAAAATATTTTTATTATCAAAATTATTTGACAAAATACAGTCAGTATTTATACAGAACCTTTTTAAAAGCACATAGTTAATTTTCTATAGCTTTTGCTTGTTTGTCTCAGGTGTATTTTCAATTGTGCAATTTGAGAAAAACTTCTCCCACAAAAGCTGCAATTATGTGGCTCTTCACTTCTGTGGTTTCTTGTGTGTTTTGTCCATGAACCACTATAACTGCATCCTCTTCCACATATACACTTACAAACGCAAAATGTATGGATTGTGTGAGAGCCTGTATGTGATATTATATGCCTCCCAACTGAAACACATCAAAGTATCTTTTCCCTTAACTGTTGCAAGGGTATAGTTTCATGTGTGGGTTCTTATATGGGAATACAATTGATAATTACGTCCAAAACTTTTTCCACAGATTTTGCGAAAATATGGCTTCTCATCTGTGTGGATTCGCAAATGACCACTCAAATTTGACTTATGACCAAATTCTTTCCCACAGGTCTTGCAAAGGTACAGCTTTTGACCTGTGTGGGTTCTCAAGTGGATCAACAAACCTAAATTAGATGTGAGAAGTTTCCCACATGTTTCACAAGAATAAGGTTTCTCACCTGTGTGAGTTGTTATGTGCTTATGCAAATTTGCTTTCTGAGAGAATCTTTTCCCACAGGTGCTGCAGGGGTATGGCTTCTCACCTGTGTGGATTCTTATATGATTACTCAAATGTGACATCTGACCAAATCTATCCCCCAGAGGTGTTGCAGGGGTACGGCCTCTCCCCTGTGTGAGTCCTCAGATGCATTTTCCATCTGGACTGCCACTTAAAAGTTTTTCCACAAGTGTCACATTTGAAAGACCTTTTACTTCTCTTAGTGTTACAGTGACTCTTTGTTGTGGGAGAGTTGTGTACATTGTTACTGTGACTTGTGTTTTTTTGACATTTCTTTTTGTTGTGAGAGAAGAGCTGGTGGTCACTGTTTGGTTCTGGTTCACTGTGGTACCTTTCCTCATTGGTAAGAGTCAACAAAAAGGTATCAGTCTCCTGCTTCAGTACAAGCTGCTCTCCCTCCTGACTGGTGCAGAGTTCCTCCTCTTCCTCTTTAGTCTGTGGAGGCTCTGGGTCCTCCTGGTCCAGACTGGAGTTCCTCTCCCGGTTAAAGAGCTGCTGGTCAGAGAGAACCTCCTCCTCCTTACAGACATGTTGCTGTGGGAGCTCTGGAGGGACAAAGGGACATGACAAATAGCAGAAAATCTGAGATTGAAAAGTGTCTGATTGTGTGTCACTGTTGTCTTAGTGGCATGTGTTGATCATGAGTGGTTTATTGTCACTCTTGACTTTTGGTATGCTGCTGCTATTCTACCACCTCTAATCTGCACAGACCGATTCTTATTATTACAAGCCACTGACTATGATATGTTGATAGTGTTTGAAGCTTATCACACCAATGTCACTGGTAGATACTGCTGTCCAATGACACACTGTTGCTGTGCCACTCATGTTAGTGTCATATGTCTAACATACTTTGACCAGAGTCATGTCACTGCTGTTGGACCAGTTTATCGAACAAGGACACATTATCTTGCTCCTCTTCCACTCTCCACTCATTCATGTAGATCCTTTACTGGCTAATGCAGCTATGTTGCTGTTCTGTTTTACATGAGAACAGTCACTGTGGCTCCAGCGGCAGATACGCCACTGTCCACCAGCAGATGAGTTGTGCATGTAGTGGGAGGAGGCCCAGGTGAAATATCTATAAAACAACATGAGAAAGGTCCGGGGACAAAGTCTGATGACGCTTTAAAGTAAAGATTTATTATTCTATAATCGACAGAAGTATCTACCAGTGAAATGGGAGTGATAAGCTGTTTACAAGATCAACACTATCAACACATCATATTCAGCAGTGGTCTGTATCAATAAGGATCAGTAAGTGAAGGTGAGAGGTGGTACATGACAGTGGAACACGAGGGACACGCGATCAGACTGTTCTTAATCTCAGTAAATAACGTGATGTTACAAAACCAGATCTCTGAGTAAATAAACTCCTGTGTTAGTTTTCATTCAGACCATTCTGGTTTCACAGACCTGTCCTGTGTAGCTTTATTTCGGGTTTCAAAACGATATCCAGCAGTCTGCGCTGACGATCGATCTCTTCCTCGTACTCGACGATAGTTTGTTCAAAGACTCCGAATATTTCTTCAGCAGCAGCAGTTAGTCGCTCGTTGACAAACTCTCTCAGATACTGAACTGAAGACATTGTTGCTTAGTTACCACTGAAATATTTATCTGCGATACGACTACACCGTCGTCTTCAAGCTAACTCCACATATACCTACAGCTAATGCCGAAGTGTGGTTACCTTGTTTACTTACGCTTGGTGTCACACTGTGAAGTTCCGAGAGGGGACGTGAGTTAGTATTTATTTCCGCCTTCAGTTATGACTGTCTGTGTTTCTTTATTTCACAGGGAAATTTGTTTTTTTTCCCTCTGTACTACCACAATCAACTGATATCATTTCTAGCTATTTTGCAAACTTTAAAAAAAAAAAAATTACTTTTTAATAAGTAGTAGTAATGTCATGTAACATGTTTTGATCATAACCAAAGTTAACTATAGCTGTTACGTAAACATAGTATTTGGCTGTTCAACATAAGAGTATATAACATAACATAAAGTATATTTAACATAAAATAAAGTGAGTCAGAGTACACCTTTACAATTGATTTGTTAAAGTATTAAACATTTCATGTCTTTATGTGATTTAGAAGTTCTGTAAGTTTTAGAATTTAAAATATTAATCGGAAAAGTAAACATGAATGTAGTGGAATACAATGTATAACTGCCTTGTAGTAGAGGTACATACACTACACAATATAAAATAAAATGTCTCAAAGTACAACTAGCTCAAAACTGATTTGTTTATTGGAAGTGTTCAATATTTGACATCTGTGTGTAATTTAAATGCAGTCTTGGCCATCTGAGAATAAATGTACTTCGGCAGAGTGCTTGAGTAAATGTATCACTTATATTCCACCTCTGTTAATATGATTGCTTAATATGAGGCACTTACATTGATCAAACTGCCAAACTGTATCATATCAAACTATCCGTTCACTTACAGCAGGTGAGCTACAACACTAAAACACCTGTTGTGTGTTATAATTGAACTCTGAAAACAAGTCCTCTTCACTATGACTACAATCCATCAATGTGGAAACATCAGTCTAAATAACCAGCACTGAAAACATTTTTTACTATCAACATTCTATCACAAAAACAAGTCAGTTTACTTATATAGCACATTTTACAGAAACATGTAGTTCATTTTGTACATTTTTGAATCTGTGTGTCACCTCTAAAGTGTGAAAGAACAAAATTATATCAGATTAATTGAATCAAAAAATACATGAAAATATAAAATGAAAGGAAATGGCTCTAAACAAAGAAGTAAAGACTCTAGCTGGTGGGATGACAACATAGGTGATTGTACAGCACTAGAGGTTAACCTCAATGTAACAGAATTCACAGTCCACCTGTATACTTTTGATAGAACATAAAATTAAAAAAATTAATATTAACTTGTGAGGCCAATCATTTATATCCGTAGGAATGATGCTATACTATCCCTACTTCTGCATAGGGAACAGCAAAATGCATCATAGACGAATGTCCCAATCAGAAATAGAGTTGTTGAATGTGGAAGAAAACTTTTATGTTACAACAACAAATATTTGTAGACGGGTTGAAATTTGTTGTGAAACGGATTGCGGCAAAATTATCATTTTCCCTCGATTATATCTTGTTTTTATAATTGTTGGAGGCCAAAATCGTAATCGAAAATAAAATATGATTAATTGCCCAGCCCTAATTGACACTGTACTACATTAAACTAAGATATTGTGACCTCTTTCCAGTGGAAAATGTTATACATTATATTAAAGAGATGTATTTATTGTAAAGTGTATTTGATTCAGTTGTTGAACTGCAATTATGTGGCTCTTCACTTCTGTGGGTTCTTGTGTCTTTTCTCTGAATGACAAAAATTGTATCCTCCCACATATTTTACAAATCAAACACTACTTTCCTGGATGTGATCTTAAATGACTTCCCAAGTGAAACACATGAAGTATTTTTCCCTCAGGTTTTGCAGTGATGTGGTTTCTCTACAATGTGCGCTCCTCTCATATGGACTGTCAGTTCATCCCTAAGCCTGAAAGCTCTCCTACATGTCTCCTACACCCTTAACCTGTATGAAGCCGTACGTGGTTTTGCAAGTTTGCTTGCTGCTTGAAACTCTTCCCACAGGTGTTGCAGGAGTATGGCCTCTCACCTGTGTGAATTCTCATGTGGACTGTCAAAACACTACTTTGTCTGAATGCTTTACCACATGTCTCACAAGAATATGGTTTTTCACCAGTGTGGATCATTGTATGTTGTTTCAATACTGACTCTCTACAAAATCTTTTTCCACAGGTCTTGCAAAGGCATGGCTTCTCACTGTGTTTTCTAATGTGGACTCTCAAATGACTACTAAAACTGAAAGTTTTCCCACAGGTCTCACACGAATATGGTTTTTCACCTGTGTGGATTTTTACATGAGAATTAAGTGCTGACTTGGCACGAAACCTTTTCCCACATGTCTTGCAAAGGTACGGCTTCTCACCTGTGTGGGTTCTGATGTGGACTGCCAATTCACCACCAAGTCTGAAAGTTTTCCCACAAGTCTCGCAAAAATATGGCTTCTCACCTGTGTGGATTCTTATGTGATCATTAAGAGTTTTTGTATGACGGAAACTTTTCCCACAGGTGTTGCAGAGGAATGGCTTCTCACCTGTGTGAGTTCTCCTGTGGGCCATCATACCCTCTTTAGTAATGAAACTTCTCCCACATGTTTCACAGGAATATGGCCTCTCACCTGTATGGATTCTCATGTGGACTTTCAGGGCAGGATCACATTTGAAACCTTTACCACACGTTTTGCACAAGTACGGCCTCTCGCCTGTATGGATTCTCATGTGAGTTGTCCATATCGACATGGATGTAAATCTTTTCCCACAGGTCTTGCAAAGGTAAGGCTTTTCACCTGTATGGGTTCGCATGTGGATCAACAAACCCAAACTAGATGTTAGTAGTTTCCCACATGTTTCACAAGAATAAGGTTTCTCACCTGTGTGAGTTGTTATGTGCTTATGCAAATTTGCTTTCTGGGAGAATCTTTTCCCACAGGTGCTGCAGGTGTATGGCTTCTCATCAGTGTGGGTTCTTAGATGTACATTCAGTGATGATATCTGCCTGAAATATTTCCCACAGGTGTTGCAGTGGTATGGCTTCTCACCTGTGTGTTTTCTCATATGTATGTTCAGTTGGGATTTACACTTAAAATCTTTTTCACAAGTTTCACATTTGAAAGACTTTTTAACTGTCTGAGTCTTATAGTGACTCTTTGATTCTGGGTCTACATGCTTGCTTCCTTCCTGATCTTGGCTCTCAGCTACAGGAGAGTTGTGAGAGAGGAGCTGGTGGTCACTTTCCTCATTAGTCAACATAAAGGTATCAGTCTCCTGCTTCAGTACAAGCTGCTCTCCCTCCTGACTGGAGCAGAGTTCCTCCTCTTCCTCTTTAATCTGTGGAGGCTCTGGGGCCTCCTGGTCCAGACTGGAGTTCCTCTCCTGGTCACAGAGCTGCTGGTCAGTGAGAACCTCCTCCTCCTTAAAGACATGTTGCTGTGGGAGCTCTGGAGGGACAACGGGACACGAGAAATAGGTTACTAATGTGATGATGGAAAAACTGAGATCTTGCTTTGTCTTTACTTTGTCATAAGATAACTAACACATAACACACTTTAAAAATATAAATGTGTTCCCTTATCAGTCTTGAATAGCTTCTATAGGTTTTGCAAACCAGCAGATGTCACTTTGCTATATCACACCCATCTCACATGAGAAACACCTTTAATCGTACACCTAATCACAGACAAAGTTCAGGTGAAACGCTTATTGTACAGATTCGTTTTCGGCAGATATACTAAAATATCTATACAGTATTTATCTATATGTCTTAAATTCTACTCTGAAATCACTTTATACCATAAATTACTTTGAAATCTATGTTAACGATACTGGAAAACACGGTAATGATTCTGAATCCGTCGGAAAAACCAGAAAGGCAAACGTTAGAGTGAGCGGCCATGATAAGTGTCTCACGTTAGGCTACTTACTTGTTTCAAATGATCAAATGATGAAGTGAAAAAGTGCAAAATGTTTATTTTTAGGAAAAAGAAATAAGTAGTTGCTGCTGTTCATTGCACTCTTTTTGTGTCCTGTTTATTATTTTATTACTAAATGTGCCCAGTTAGCTGAATCTAAGAAGATTAAAACCACAGGGACAAGCTGTGTAATCGTTGTCTGTCCGTGACTGAGTGTCGCCACTTCCTATGGAGGCCGATTGTTTTTCTCTTGTGATCAACCAACCAATCAAAACTTGGTCGACTAAGGCTCAATCCCGATGTTCCCCCTTAGGACCAAGCTCTGAACCCTCAAAGACTTAACTAACGACACCTGGTAAGTGACTGAGTGCGAAAGAAACAATAGTATAAATATGGACGGGACAGCATTTTGTGACATATCATGTTACCTTGTCGATGCCAAAACATGTTTCATACAATTATGGGTTTGGAACTTTAGATTTTACATTTTTTATTCCCACCCTTCACTCTGTTTGTAACCAAACAACTACACACAGTTCTGGCTGGGGGTCACCAGTGAGCTGTGTTTATCCATACATGTTTTTTCTTATAACGTGAACCAGTGATCTTTGTTTACATATGCCACTTCCTGTGCTCCAGATGGTGTTGTGTGCAGATTCACTGTTTCACTGATATCTATCTACCTGTGTGTCTGTGAACAGTGATGAGAAAGTGAAGACAATGCTGGAAAAAGGTTGGTAGCACTTATATTTAAAATCTTGTCCACAGGTGTCACAGTTTAACCTTTTTACCTGTCTGAGTGTTACAGTTGTGAGAGAGGAGCTGGTGGTCACTTTCCTCATTAGTAGGAGTCAACATAAAGGTATCAGTCTCCTGCTTCAGTACAAGCTGCTCTCCCTCCTGACTGGTGCAGAGTTCCTCCTCTTCCTCTTTAATCTGTGGAGGCTCTGGGTCCTCCTGGTCCAGACTGGAGTTCCTCTCCTGGTCACAGAGCTGCTGGTCAGTGAGAACCTCCTCCTCCTTACAGACATGTTGCTGTGGGAGCTCTGGAGGGACAAAGGGACATGACAAATAGCAGCAACGTAGAAATTAAAAAGTGTCTGATCACGTGTTTCACACACAATCAGCAGTGGCCTGTATTAATAAGAATGATTAGAGGTGGTACATAGCAGTGGAACACGAGGAACACACGATCAGACACATTTAATCTCAGTAAATAACGTGATGTTACTAAACCGGATCTCTGAGTAAATAAACTCCTGTGTTAGTTTTCATTCAGACCATTCTGGTTTCACAGACCTGTCCTGTGTAGCTTTATTTTGCGTTTCCAAACGATATCCATCTGTCTACGCTACGATCTCTTCCTCGTACTCGACGATAGTTTGTTCAAAGACTCCGAATATTTCTTCAGCAGCAGCAGTTAGTCGCTCGTTCACAAACTCTCTCAGATACTGAACTGAAGACATTGTTGCTTAGTTACCACTGAAATATTTATCTGCGATACGACTACACCGTCGCCTTCAAGCTAACTCCACATATTCATAGAGCTAACGCTATTCGCTCACTTTCATTGTGTACTTCCGCTGGGAGTCACACTGTGAAGTTCCGGCAGGGGACATGAATTAGCTTTTATTTTCGACTTCAGCTGTGATTGTACGTCTGTTCCAACAAAGTCAAAATTTCCATAACCCTCGACGGGGTAAGGAAAGCTGAATTTGTGAAGGGATTCAAGCACAGACCTAGAAAAGTACGCTGCATGGGTTCAAGATGGCTGTTCTTCATAATTACTTTGAATCCTAAGGCTTATGTGATTGATGACCCCCCTTGTGTCCTGTACAACCTGCTTGTGACATGCGGTGCAGGTCATCCGGTCTTTTACACTGTAAAGCTTGACTGTTAGAATAAATACATGAGATCAGTGAGGAAGAATTTGTTGCCCATATTCCATTCAGCATCGATCGATGTATACAGTACTACCACTTAGGCTGACAACAATTAAAGTCCTTCAATCTGATCTATCACTGTGAGATTAGTCTGAATAACCAGCACTGAAGGAAAACCTCCGTGAGTGAGAACCTCCTCCTCCTTACAGACATGTTGCTGTGGGAGCTCTGGAGGGACAAAGGGACATTAGAAATAGGTTACTAATGTGATGCTGGAAAAACTCTAGTTTTGGTTTGGTCTTATTTTGTCCTAAGACAACTCATGTAACAAACTCCTCCAAACATTCAATAAAAGATATTAATAAAGAAAGTATAAAATTCACAAAGAGTACAATAGAAACAGTTTAAAACAAACCACAAGCAGCACACAAAGCAAACAAAGTCCTGTGTGTAAAACTGAAGCAGGAAACAGGATAAAAACACTACAAGTTAAAAGAAGTTATTTCACAGTGGTCCTGACCAGCTCCCAATCACGACAACAACA